AAAAAAAGAGATATCTTTTATCTACATACTGACTGCTCTGGATAGTTTGAAAGATTTCCTCACTGACTAAATTGCAATAAACAAAAAGGGTTAATTTTTGCTGGTCTTTTTCTTTAATTACCGTTAATTTAAAGTAAGGATTGCCGTATCATTCTCCTTTGTCATAGACTTTTTTTTGTTCTTTGTCTACTATTCAGCCGGTAAATTCTTGGTTTTTGGTCATGTTATTCTTTCTGTTCTTCTTGACGGGCTAAATAGCAAAGTTTACATTTGCGGGGTGGTTGACCGGGAAATTTAATTCAGCCTGAACCGTCTCCACACCCTGAGCATTTATTTTCCCGAGGGACATAACGACTGCCATTTAGTTCACAATTGCGGCAATAATCGTAGTTTTGGTGAGAGTAGCAGGTGAAATTATCACAGCAACCGATACATTTTTTACGGATTCTTTTTTGATTTAGGAGTTGGTAAGCAATACAAGTAAAAGATTTGCGAACATTTTTGAGAGAGTGGGAATAATTACCAGTTAATTCGAGAAATAGGCCTTTTTTTAAGGAGAGTTCAGTTAAATTTTCTTGCTCATCTTTAATTTTGAAAATTACCGGCAAATCGATATTTTGACCTTTTAAGCGGATAAAGGAGTAATAGTAAGGTTCAGTAGAATTTTGCTCTTTGGTCTCCGGCAAGACTTTGTCTTTTAGAGAATTATTACTTTCAATTTCCTCCCGCCGTTGGAGACGGGAGGTGAGGGTTCCTTGTAAAGTGATTGGAGTATTCATCATTAGAGATCGACTTCTTTTTTGGCTTTTTCTTCGTAAACATTAATATCGGGGGCCGGTTTTAAGAAAGCGACATAACCAAGTAGTAAAACTGCTATTCCTGAACCAATACAAGCCCCAATACTTCAATAATTCTTCTCTGAACCTCCTGATTTTATGCCTTCTACTTTGGTTTTTACCTCGTCAATTTTATTGTTGGTGGATGATAAATCCGCACTTACTCCTTTGGTTTTTAATTCTTCCAACAAAGTTTTTAAAGGGGATAAATCGACAATTTCTTCATAAATTATATTGCCCTGACTATCTTTTAAATCATTGCCGTCTTTATCTTTTTTGGCTTGTTTTTTTAAGTCTAATTTACTTACTGCTTCCAGTTTGTCAATTAAATCTTTGGTTATTTTGCCGCCAATTTGTTCGTCTTTTTGTTTAATGAGAGCATCTTTGGCGTCTTTTTCTGTTTGGAGTTGAGATTTTTCATCTTGGAGTTTTTTGATTTCTGAGTCAGTTTTAATTTTCTCTTGCCCGATAGTTTTATCGATATTTTCTAAGTCTTTAAGGTCAATTTCCAGGTCAGCGGATAAATTGGTGTGTCTTGGTTTGCTTTTATCGTAAAGATGGGCTATTCTTTTTTCAATATCTGCTTTCTCTGAGCCAGTTCAGGCAGTGTTAGCATCTTGTTTAGTTTTTATAGTTGTTAATATATCTTTTAATTCGTTTAAAGTATTATTAATGTTTACCATTTTGCTACATATTTATTGTGATATTGTTGTGTAAAATATATAGACAAAAAGGGGTTAAAAAAAGTTCTGATAAGTAAAATTATCATGTATAAGACCAATAAAAATAAGTTAAAAAATGATTTGTTATCAATGTCGTAAACTTTTAAAGAAAGGTCATGGTGAAAATATTTGATATCATCCCAATCCCGGAGATATCCGTAGAGTCGGAATAAGAGGAGAATATAGATATTATTGCCATTTTTGCTTAAAAGTCAAAGATTATTGAGAAAAAATGAATGCTGCCAAATGACGTTATGCTATTGCTGATGTTAAATTTAAATCATTTTCGCTCTTAGCGCTTATCATTTTTCTCTTTTTATTTTGATATTTTTGAAATAAATCTAAGGAAACTGTTTTTCTTTATTTTTTGATAATTTTTCCTATTTTTTTAGTTATTGATTATTGAAGCTACTCTAAAATAAAGAAAAAGAATGCTAAAATTTCTAAGAGAAGAGCTGAGTTTTGAGAACAATATGAAAAGTTTAAAAGGGAACAATGGAGACCATTAGCAATTGAACAAGAATGATTAAGAAAAGCAGAGATTTATGTCAAGAGCAAACACCGATATCCCAATGAATGGTTTTGTCATTGCGAAAGGTGCTTGGAGGCTGAATGAAAGAAGAGAAATTAAATCATTAATCCTCCTCTTTAACAAAATTAGGCGTTCCAGTTAACGAACAAGTGCCGTCAATATTTTTAGGAAAAGCAATTAATTCTTTTAAATTATTAGTATTTAATATTACCGCTAACAAACGGTCAATTCCTAAACCAATTCCGCCATGGGGGGG